AAACTTAGTTTTATGTGACTGCTCATCTGTTGCTTTAAATGACTACATTTATACTTTTATACTATGGTATACCAGAATAATTCTCACTGAACTTATCAGCCACTAGATTTTTCATCTACCTACTTACCTACCTACCTATCCATCACCTACCTATTCTCTTTTATCTCTAACTCTGTAATACCCAGTATTATACTATGTAAGAAGTAGATCATTAATATGTGTGTACTTACTGAATGAATTAATGCAGTTTTAGAATGTGATTAGAATTATTGTGTCCTCTCTTGGTTCAGGTCTTTGTAAAGTCAAGTAGTAACAATTCTTCAGTTTGTTCTATAAAAATACTACATTCTTGCACATGTATGAGGACAAAAGGGAGCAAATTGTTCAAAGAATACTGAATTGAGGGGATATACTTTATTGCCAAATATGTCAGGCATAGGCAAATGCATATATATGTACAAGTAAATTTGAGATAGCATAAAGATAAAGGGATATACATGAAACCAATTATTTTCTTCAGATGTCCAAATCTGAAAATATTTTTTATGACATGATCTTCATGTTTGTCTAAATCAGAGGTTGCCAAACTACTTGCCCACATGCCAAATGCAGTCCACACCCAGCTTTTGTACTGCCTGTGAGCTAAGAATACTTTTCACATTTTTAAAGGACTGGAAAAAATCAAAAGAAGAATGATAGTTCGTGACATGTAAAAATTATATGAAACTTAAATATCAGTGTCCATAAATAAAGTTTTATTGGAACACAGCCATGCTCATTCATTTAAGCATTGTCTATAGCTGCTTTCACACTACAGTGGCAGCGTTGAGTAGTTGGGACAGAGGCTGCAGGGGCCAGAAAAGCCTAAAATATTTCCTATCTGGCCCTTTAAAGAAAAAGTTTGCTGACCTTTGGTATAACTAAATAATACAGGATGTCATAACATTTTTAATATTGCTTAAACTACATCTATTATTTTATTTTCTAAAATTTCTAATTCAAGGTCCCTCTTTTGTTATGTAGAAGATGTCCATGCTCTCAGAACAAAGTCAAACATGTTCTCCTGTGATAATTCTGTACAGTCTCCCTGATAGCAACAACATTTTTATGCAGAAACAATAACAGACTAAGAAGCTGATGGTTTCTCTAAGAGGTTGGAAGTCTCTTCCTGCCAGAAGTCATCTTTCCCTTTGACGGGAAACTGGGGCTGGGCAGCCCTAGGAGTGGTTACAGTGCATCACATCACTGTGGTGGCACCAAAGTGGCTTCTCCAGCTTCCATCAACTGATTCCGGGTGATGTGATGGAGTCAGATAGACGAGGAAAAGAAAACTGCTCTTTTTGTCATCACCCAGGACCTAAATAAAGATAAAAGGACTCAGACTAACCAGACACAGGTGAATATTACTTATCAAAATGTCTTGCAGAGGCATTTAGCAGCACAACAACGTAGATCTGTGGCAGCCCAATCTCTGTGTTAGCTCCAGAGTAAAACAAAGGGAGCAGAACCTCCTGGTGTCTCCTAAGATCAAGCGTGGTTGGGACTAAACTTCAAGGGAACCTGATTATTTATTTGTTAAGACTCTAATGTAAATTCTACTGTCTTTCCATATATTTGTCTTTCCCTCTGTGTGTCTTTGTCTCTCTCTCTCTTTCTCCAATTTATCAAAAGTTTACTGACAACTTATTATGTGTGAGGCGCAGGGCAAGCCCCCGCAACACAAAAATAAATACAGTAATCCTAACTCTCAAGGAGCTCATGTGAGAAACAAGTTAAAATAATCTTGCTTGGCCTTTTGGCAGTATGGAACAACAAGCGGATCCTCCTTAACACATTCTTCTCCTGGTTTCTTTGGCCCCAGAAATGTTATATAACCAGATGTTATATGGTTTTATTTCTCTGGTTTCTGATTCTTTGTCTCCATTGCCAGCTCTTTGTTTTCTTTCCAATTTCTAAATGGTCAGAGTTGAGTCCTGGGCCCACTTTTCTTTTGATTCTATCTACCCTCCCCAGGCAATCTTCTTTCAAATTTATAAATCCAGTTCCAGCAGCTCTTGTGGGCTTCAGACCCATGTCTATAAGTCTACAGGGGACATCTTCACTTAGAACTTTTGGTCTTCCCCTGCAATTCTGTTCCGGAAGTCTCCATCTTGGTCACTGACATCTCTGCTCCTGTATCTGGTCTTGGAAGAAGACTCAGGTCAACCGTGACCGTATGACTCCCTCTCCATAACCCACTATTTCAAATCAATCATCAGGTTCTTTCAAGTAACTCTTGACTTTTGTCATTTCTCTCCCTGAGTTTGCCACCAACTTAATCTGGGCAACCATCATCTCTCACAGGAACCACTGAACGACCCTCTCAACTGGTCTCCCACATCTGCTCATCTCCAGCTCTACTTTATCTTGCCAGGGATAATGTTTTTCAGACCAAAAAAATGTAAATAAGTCTCTTAAAAGGAAATGCAATGCTAGCAAAATACACATGTGGTTCTTCATCTTCATTTTTTTTTTTTTTACTTAGTAATGTATCAAGAAGGTCTTTTTACATCAGTATGCCTAGAATTGCCTCACAAATTTTAACAGCTGCCTCCCTTTCACTTGTTTAACTCTACCATAATTTATTTAACCACTTCTCTATTGATGGCTATTCTCAGTCTTTACTACTATAAATGATGCTTCAGTGAAGGTCCTAGAAGAATCACCCTTCAATATATGTGTGAGTATATTTATTGGATAAACAGCTAAAAGTAGAATTAACAAGTCCAAGTCTTTGTACATTTAAAAATTGAGTAAGTGATGCCATATTGCCCTCCACAGTTGTACCAACTTCTACTCCCGCTGACAGTATAAGAAAGTGCTTGGTTCTCAGTCTAGCTAGCCGAGTACGTTATTAATACTTTTTTATTTTTGTCAACCTGGTATGTAAAAATAGATCTCATTGCAATTGTAAGGGCTTTGTCTCTTGTAAGAAAGGGGAGTATTTTTACATACTTTAAGAGCCATTTTATTTATTTATTTATTTGGAGGCTAGAGTGCAGTGCATCATAGCTCACTGCAGCCTCAAACTCCTGGGCTCAAGCTATCCTCCTGCCTCAGCCTCCCGAGTAGCTAGAACTATAGGTGTGAGCCACCACACCAGGCTAATTTTTCTATTTTTTATAGAGATGGGATCTCGCTCTTGCTCAACCCGGTCTCGAACTCCTGAGCTCAAGCCATCCTCCTGCCTCAGCCTCTCAGAGTGCTAGGATTACAGGCCACCGCACCTGGCCCATTTGTATTTCTTTGACTGCAATCTGTTTGTTATATCCTTTTGCCCAGTGTTTCAGAGTTTTTTATGCTTTTCTTATTGATTTGTAGAAGCACTTTGATTCTTCTTAAATAATCTAATTTCCAGACTCTATCAGATATCCTGGTATTTTTTAAAAAGTCATAATTTAGTCAATTTTTTAATTCTAATAATAAGTCATCATCAAGGGCTAACCCCATTACAGGGGAGCCCATAGACAGGGCTATACATTGACTCACAGTAGTCCCAACTCCTGAAATAGCTTGGTAAGACTGTCTGATGCCGATACTCACACTACTGCATTTCATTTTCCTAACAGCCCTGTGAGGCACGTAGTCTCATTAACCACAAAGAGAAGCTCAGAGAATGTGAATGCCCAGGGTCACACAGCTAGGAACTCTTCCACTTCTGAAATCTTAAAAGCCCGGTAACCCATCACCACTGGCCAGTCCTCAATCACACCAGACTTTGATTCTTGATGTTTCTAATTTCTATTAATCTGTTGCTCTTCTCTTTTTCCTTCTATAAATGTCCAATGGACATTTTGAAGTGCCTACTATGTGCCAGGAATCCTCATGTGGTTTACATTCTAGAGGGGTTCTCGATCATAAGCAGTAAAAACAAATAGTAATAAAGTTATACTACTATGAAAAAAATACATAGGATGGTTAGAAAGGACAGAGAAGGATCCTTCAGGTGGAGTGGAAGGGCATCTTAGAGGAGGTGACATTTAAACAAAGATCAAAATGACCAAAAGCATATTCCAGGAAAAGGAAATATATGGGCTAAGTCCTTTAAAACAAGAGCAAATTCAATGTGTTTAAAGAATAGAGGAAAGGGCAGTGTGACTGCAGTGATGGAGAGCGATGGGAGGTGAGGTCATAGAGGTGGTCTGGGACGCTACAGAGGGCTTTGTCGGCCAGCAGAGGAGTCTGGACTCCATCCCAAGAGCAATCAGCAGATATGGAGGCATTCTAAGAGGAGAAGCCATATGATCCAATATACATCTTATGATTTGTGTAACTCTAGCTGTGCTGTGGAAAATGGGGACAAGAGCGGAAGCAGGAAAACCATTTAGAAAGCTATTACAGGAGCACCAAGGAGAGATGATGGTGGTTTGTAGCAGGGTGGTAGCAGTGGAGACAGAAAGAGACATTTTGGAAATGTTTTAAAGATAGAATTGACCTGAATGCCTCATGGATTGGATGTGAAAACGGAGGGAAAGAGAAGAATCAAGAAAGTCTACATGCTTTTTGACTTGAGCAATTGGTGATGCCATTTAATTTGAAGAAGGCCAGAAAAATCAAGAATTCTCTATTACCGTAGTATTTCCTTCTTTCCCTATGTAGCCTTAACCTCACAGGGCATGAATTTAACTCTTCTCTCCCCAAGACTTTTATTTTCCTTCCCTACTTGTGCTTTAGTCCTTCTTATCTAAAAGAACTTCCTCTACCTGGTTCCTCTACTTCCATCCTCTCCTCAACCCACTGCAATCTGGTTACTATACTCATTTTACTATAAACTTCTTCTTGCCAAACACACCAATGACCTCCTTGTTGCTAAATGCAAGGACATATAGGTCCCCATTTTTCTTGGCCTCTCTCTGGTATTTAATACTGTTGATATTTCCTCCCTTGGTTCCTCTGAAACTACTTGTTCCTAGTCCTCCTTCCTCTCTTGGTGTTCTTCCTCTGTATCTTTCTTTCCTTACCTTTTAAATGTTGGCATTTTTGTAGGGTTCCATAGGAGGCCTCTTCTTCTCTTTCTCTACACCTTCTCTCTTGGGGATTTCATGTACTTCCATGAACTATCACTTATTCTGATGACTCCAGCATAGGACTCTTCCAATTCTAGACCTCTCTGTTCAATTATGTAGTAGACAGTTTCACTCTGATATCCCATGGATACTTCAAAGCTAACATGTTTAAAATTAAACTAATCACCTTCCCTCTGCAACCTTTTTCCCTCCTGAAGTCCCCATCTAGGTGAATGTTATCATTTTCCTATTTACCTAAGCCATAAATCTCCTCTCATTATCTTCTGCAGATATAATCAATAATCAATTTCGGTTGGATCTATATCCTTAATATTTCTTGAGTTCTTCCCTTCTTTCCATTTCCATTCTTACTACCTTAGTTTAGACACCCATCATTTCTTTGCTATAATGCTAAAACAACCTCTAACTAGTCTGTCTGCTTACAGCATTATGCACACTAATAAATTCTCCAAACTGGAGTGATCTTTCTAAAATGGACATCTGATCACTTCACTATGCTCCTTAAATTTCATCAATGGCTCTCCTATGGCCTTAGGAAAAGTTCAAACGTTTTAGGAAACTTACAAGACTTTTCACAATACAAGACCACGCTACTCTTTCTGGATATTCCTCAGGACTTCTGCCCTGCATCTGCACAATGTATTTATCGAGAACTTACTTGCTGGGCGCTGGCCTCCACCGTTAACTCTCTGGGCACAGCTTTTTACCTTGAGGTCTTTACACATAGTACTTTTCTCTCTCTCTCTCTTTTTTTTTGCCTGGAATACCTTTCCCTTTAACCTGCCCACTTGTCTGGCTTACTTTTACTTATCCTTCAGAACTCATCTCAAGATTCATCTTGTGTGGTCAGTCAGTGACCCTGAATATGCCCAGTCAAGGTTAGGTATCGTTTTTATGAGCTCCCCTGTTGATATCATCTCACTGTTGTGTGATCAACTGTGTACTCATCTATCTCCTCATTATACTCTAAGGTCCTTTAGAGTAGGGACCGTGTTATGTCGATCTTCGTATACCTAGCACAGTACCTGACACACAGCAGGCACTCAATAATGAATAAAGTGGCAGAGTTGGGTTCAAAGTCAGGTCTTTTCTCTCAGGCATGAATCTCATTTCTTCATGCTACTTCTTAATATCTTGAATCTGAAAAATTCTAAAATCTGAGCTAGTTCTATTTTTCACCTATCACTAATTAAAATATAGGCAAATTGATTATTACTTACATGACGATTCAGTTGGCAATTTCTTCCATAGCCTTTCCTCCATCATTTCACCACTTTGATAATCAAAGTACTTTGGGTTAACTACATCTAAAATGAATGAAAGGCCAGCTGTGGTGACATGCACCTGTAGTCCCAGCTACTCAGGAGGCTGAGGTGGGAGGATTGCTTAGCCCAGGGTTTCAAGGCAAACTGGGCAACATCGGAAGACCCCATCTCTAAATAAATAAATAAAAGGACTGAGGCCGGGCGCGGTGGCTCACGCCTGTAATCCTAGCTCTTGGGAGGCCGAGGCGGGCGGATTGCTCAAGGTCAGGAGTTCAAAACCAGCCTGAGCAAGAGCGAGACCCCGTCTCTACTATACATAGAAATAAATTAATTGGCCAACTGATATATATATAAAAAATTAGCCGGGCATGGTGGCGCATGCCTGTAGTCCCAGCTACTTGGGAGGCTGAGGCAGAAGGATCGCTCGAGCCAGGAGTTTGAGGTTGCTGTGAGCTAGGCTGGCGCCATGGCACTCACTCTAGCCTGGGCAACAAAGCGAGACTCTGTCTCAAAAAAATAAATAAATAAATAAATAAAAGGACTGAAAGACCTTTCTCAACACTTTTCTATCCTTTTGTACCTCTTATCCAGTTGCTTCCACAAACACCACCAAGGCAAGGGCAGAGTAAGTACATCAGGAACAAGGTAGATTTTATTTGTCTGGCAACTGACACTAACAACTAATGCATCAACAGGAAATAATTTCCCGTAATTTCCCCCAAGCTCTCTATGGACAGTATTATAGTTTCAGTGCTAAAATTTAACATTGCAAAATCCAGCTAAAATTGAAATTTTTATGTAGCAATGTCCATTTATTACAGAATTTTGTAAATGGAAGGAACCTTAGAGATCCTTTAGTCCAGCACTTTCATTTAAGCTTCCCTGAGGAAACTGACAGAAGACCTATAATGGCTCACTGAAGGTCACACAGTCTATAGGAAAAGTGGGAGCAAAGTTTCTGATGTTCTGTCAGCTGATCTTTCCTCAATGCCACCTATACCCTTTTCAAAGGGTTTTATTTTTCATCTAAACAAATTAACTGCATCAGAATCCACCAGTATTTATATCATGCTTATCTTTATGATATTGTCTTTGTGATGTCCTTGTTACAATGAGGAAGGAACTGGAGAAAAAAATGTTGTCTCTTCCAGGGACATAGAGGAATTGGTAAAAGAGACAATTAGTACACAAACTGATGGGGCTTCCTATTTGTAGTGCAGCCGTGTTATCACACTCTGTTCTCCAAGTGTCTCAATGCGAACCCAAGCTGATTTGTCCTTCCTGGGCCTGGATTCCATTCAAGTCTATGCCTTACTTAGTCTAAATGATTTTCCCAGCTTCAGTGTGTATTTTTTGCACTTCATTTTAGAAATATCATACTTAAATCTACTCTCTGCTTGAGTTTGTTTTAGTTCTGATGCTGAAGAATGAAGATTCTGGGTAAAAGAAATAAAGATGCTGGCTTTTTCTAGGCTTTACACTTCAAGAATGGTTTTCTCAAATGACCACTGGCAGTCTACTTTATTTCTCAAATGATGACGTTTTCCACAGGAATTAAAATTTAATTGGGATAATTTGTTTTCAACGGAAAGCAAGGATTTCTTTCCAAGAGGATCAGTTTGATAATGTTTTACCAGCTATTGCTATGAGACCAAATATAAACCAGTTCTGAGAAACAGGAAGTGAACCTGACTGGTCTAGTCTGAGTGTCCCTGGCAGTGACGCAAATAACTGAAATCAAATTAGGAAAACAAGATATGTGGGTGTGAGGCCATCGATAATAATCCAGGATGCTACAGCATAAGCAAGAATGCTTCTAACTCAATGCCATTCATTTAAATAACACCCTGAGCAGTTTGATTTCCACGTAACACGGTGGTGATTAGTGAGCCTGGATGAGCTTGAGTTCCTTAGCAACAGCACGTGCTTTTGAGACAGTCATTAGCCTTTTAGTTAATACCATCACCCCCTTCTCAATGTATGAATGACATTAAAAAAAATTATGTTTCAGAAAGTGCTCTGAAATTTCTAGGAGTGAAATGAAAAGGAATAATAATAAAAAAAACTTGTCTGGCGAAATCGCACTCAGGTGAAAGAAGTAATGTTCCTATGTGCCCGGCCTGTCTCTTCATTCCCTTGCTCTCAGCTCTAAGTTTCTGAATCCCCTATGGGCAAAGGTCAACGGAGGTGAAATTGCTCAGAGTTTATGGCAGTCTCCTCATCCAACATGAGCAGTATTGCAATGTCTCTCAGAACCACAGCTCTGGAGAGGGGTGAGGAGTGGGTGGGCATCTTGTGCGGTGGAAAGGCTGACAGAGGGGTCAGCTGGTAGGAAATATATCACATAGTTTTCTTTCTCCTCTAAGCCCATGAATTACCCAGGTCAAAGGAGCGTCTGGATGGAGGGTGGTAAGGGGAATGAAGCTCTTCTTCCTATTGATTGTTTAATTGCACCCGAGGTTGTTTGTCCAAGGCCCCTGGCCAAAAGCATTATTTTCGTGCTTAAGTGAGGTTGGGCAGGTTTCCCATCGCCTTTCCTAGTTTTAAACAAGACAACCCAGACCGCACTGCAAGGCTATAGGAATATACTATAGGTTGGCTTTTGCTATTCAGCTGCACCCTAAAGCGCCAGGGTGCATGGGATGTTGTTTCTCAAACCCTGAATCATTACCTCCAGCTCGGCCCTGGGTTCGGGACGCACAACTCCACCCTCTGTGCTGCCTGGGTCAAGTGCAGGGCGTCATTCGAATAGTAATTATTGCTGCGTTTGGCTGGTCATCCTTATTATGGCCTGGGTCCCTTTCAGCTGGACATTGGGCTACTTCAGTTTGGCGGAGGTGACTCCTAGGGCCCCTCGCCGTCCCACCTAACCCCCCTGCGCGCTCCCTTCCCAAGGCGACCACCTGCGCCGCCCCACTTACCATCTGCCCCGCGGGGAGGGCCCCCCGGGCTAGCGGAGCCCTCCCTGCTCCCGGGCGGCTCTGAGGGAGCTCGGTGTTTGCCTCCAGCCCTTCGCTACCGGAGGATCAGGTTCCTCCCCTCCTCCCCCTCCAGCTCTGGCGGCGGCGGCCGCCGCCGCCGCCTTCTTGCATGACACAGCAGAACCGCAGCTGCCGCAGCAAGTCCAAGCCATCCGCCCAGGAAGCGCCGCAACCGGGGCTCGGGAGGGGTGGAGGGGGCGAGGCAGGGGCCACAGCCCAGGGGGATTCTCGGCCCCACTGTGCACCACAAACTCCTTTCCCAGCCCAGGGGCACGCGAACAAACTGAGGCTAAGGCTGACCAGGCCGAGCCGTGGAGGAATGCTGGGCTTATCAGCAGAAGGGATGGGACCAGAGAGAAGGGTGTGAAGGAGACCCCAGTAAGGGGCAGGACATTTCAGGTAAAAGAAGGTAAGAAGAGGCCCAGAAGTCAAAGGCCAGACTGTGAAGGAGATTAAAGGAGGTCAAAGAGCGATAAGGAGGTAGAATTGCCGAGGACTGAGACTGTGGGGGGAAAGGGGTGGGCTGGGGGCAGTTGCAGGAGAAGGAGGCCTTTGGGGAGGCCCGAACTGCGCCCCCAGGCAGAAAAAGGGCTGAGTCTGGAGGCAAGGCCAGAAAAGAGGAAAGGGATGAAAGAATTAGGCATGAGAGAGGAAGACAAAACTTGGGAGACATACAGAATGAAAAGGGATGGAGTGGAGATCATTCATCATGGTTGATGAGATAAACTGATGAGGTGGAAAGAGATACAGTCAAGGCAAGGCCAAAAGAAACAGTGATCGTCCATGCCACTCTTTAGTTTCCTGCTAAGTTTTTTTTCCCTCATAATTTCGCCAATTCAAACAGTTTTTCTTGTAAAATGGAAAAGCATGAACAAAACACAGAAATAGCTATCTAGCTTAGATTTCCAGGATAAAGTCTCCATGTCTATAGAAAGTTTAAGGCAGAGATTTGGGATCTCAGGTACAAACTCCTTAAAGGGGATGGATGTGAGTCAGTAATACCGAGAGCACTCAGAACTGTTAGTTTCCACACAGCACTGGACTTGAGTAAGTCTTTCAAAGTGTTTGTTACATGCTTCAGTTAAATGCTAGAAATGATGACAAAATTAGTGGTTCAAAAATATTAACTTGCACATGTTTTTCCCTTTCTCTAGATATACACGCGTATATAACTTATATACGTGTGTATATATAATGTCTACTGTCTAGCACGTAGAGTATGGTTAAGGAATAAATATGTTTTTCTGATTATTTTATTTCCCACCAACCACACTCCACGCATTTTATAGCAGGCTGCACTTTTTTTGTCACCATTTGAAAGAACGTAGTCAGAAAGGTAAAGCAAAAACTGCCACTTTAGTTTTGTTTGTACCTTCCAGGTCATATCTTCGTACCTCACTTCCTGACACAAACAAGTTTTTACTGTTGTCAGCAACAAAGCCCCAATATAGCTGCGGAAGAGAAAAACTGCATTGCATTTTGCCTCCTGCAAGCATCATCAACAGTTACTGGAGGAATGTAATTCCAGAAAGCTTGAAAGCTGTGGTGATGGTAATTATGTATCAAATGCCTGATTCTATTTCTGTTATTATTGTTTTGTCATTTCTGTTCTACCAGCGATCTGACTGAACTCGCAGAGGGACAAATCCGGTTTTTCTTTTTTACTTTGTAAAATTTAATCAGGCCTGATAGAAAAATCGCTGCTCTTGGGGGGGGGGGAACAAAGTAGGAGCCACGAAATGTCATTTTAACAGAGCGTGGGTTTTGTGACTGTAGGAAAGGATTTAAGGACGCTCCTTCTGTTCGGCTTCCCAGGCAGGGAGCACGGGCTCCACGCACGCACAGACGCCACAGCTCCCGGATGCTGTGGCTCCCTCATCGGGGCTTCTGCAGCGCCACAAGCCCCTTCGGGATGCTGCGAGGGGCTCCCGGTGGGTGGTGGTACAAACGCTGCTACGGCCGCCGCCGCCAGTCCTGCTGCTGTTGTTGCTGCGGCTGCAGTCACGTGGGAGCCCCTTTAAGTTTCCATAGAGAGGCCTCTCCGGTGTCACATGATGGACATGATATAATGAAACAACATTGTGAGAGGAAAGCATTAGGGGAGCCCACGGCTACAAAAACAAGTGAGTGAGAAGAGGTGGGAGGAAGAGAAACTACGCCACCTCCCCTGCAGCCGGGCGCACGCAGCAGCCTGGCGTGACAAGTGGGCGACGCCGGGGGGCAGGGAGCCCGGCGCCCTCAGCCCTGGCCCGGGGACCCCGCCGCCCACCGCACGGAGAACAACTTTTCGCCGGCAGTCGCGGCCAGCACGGCACCTGTGTCCGGAGTCTCCATCGCTCCTCGTGATAATCCCTGGGAGATTCTCGAGGAATGTGCTCCACAAATCTACATGCGCATCATTTTCCCCTCGCGTCGCGCTCGGGAGGCAGGGGCGAGAAGAGGATCTGAGCGGCGAGTGTTCAGCCCAGAGAGGTAAGTTGCGTAGGGTGGGGGAGCCGGGCTGGCAGGACTTGGGGACGGGAATTCTGTTCCCGGTTGCGGTCTCCGGGGTGCAGACGGCGTCCCCTCACTCCCGGTGAGGCAGACCGCTCAGCTCGTCAGTCCGAAATGTCTCCCCCGCGGACTCTGCCATTCCTTTCCGCACGCCCCGCGTTCCCACCCTCGGACTCCCCGCTCTCGCCGCCCCCGGCGGGGCTCTCCGGTTCCCCGCCAGGCTGCTCGGAAGGCGAGGGAAGGTAGGGCTGTTGCGTGAAACGGGCTTGTCGAAGCTATTTCGCCATGTTTGTGTTGCTAAGAGCACTTTTTTTCCCCTTTGAGGTGGCTTGATGCCACATGGCTCCTCCGGAGCTGCTGCCGGGTTGAGAGAGTATTTTTTTTTTCAATGTCCGCATTCCAGCTAATGTTGCGCAGATAAAATTCAAACTTGAGGTAAACAGAAGAAGAGGAGGAGGAGGAGGGAAGGGAAGGGAGGGGAGGGAGGGGGGACTGTTTCCATTTCGAGATCCCACCTCTTCCCTCCCCGGAGCCCAACATCCCGAACCTAGAGACAACTCTCGCCCTTCTACCACGTCCCCCACCTTCGCTGTCAACAAGAAATAAGGGCGGGCGGGCGGGGGGGCTGCTTATTAGAAAGGACGCGGCGTCTTGGTTCTCAGCGGGAAAAAGCAACTCGCTGGAACTCGGGCCTTTGGCCCCATCCCTGTTTGCCGCCGCGAGGGACGCAGGATATCGTGGTTAGCTCCTGAGACCGGGACGGGAGGGCACAGCGCGCCGGGTGGGGCCGGGTGCCTGTCCCCGCTCACTCCTCTGACTTTAGGATCGCTGAGAGTGTCGCTTCCAGCCCACCCCAGGCGCGGGTTTCCAGAAGGCGGGGTGGGTGGGGCCCCAGATCCCCATAGGCAGGATCCCTAGCAGGTGTGCGGGGTGGGCATTTCTATTTGGTAAGTCTGTTGCATTTGGTAGGAGGACGCGGGGAGTCTCACAGCAAGCATAGGGGTAGAGCTGCGTCTTCTGTTTCCTTTTTCTTTCCCCCTCGCCCCCGAATTAGGGAGAAAAATCAAGACGTTCCCCCACCCTCCATGTTTTAAATGTCTGCTTCAGCTCGCAGCTAGGCGGTTGGGTGAGTGGCGGTGCTAAGGGTGAGGGTGAGCTTCGTCATGTGGAGAACTGAGGCTTCTGACAGCTCGGAGCCATGTCCCCGCCCCCCTGCCCCAGGCGGAAGGTGTGGGCTGGGTGGTCCGGGAAGGGTGACGTCCGAGGCGGGGTGGGACAGGCTTGGGATCCCTCAGAGCGCGAGGGCCGGCAGCCCTGCTCGCCGGGGAGCGCCGAGTCGGGGAGGCGGCGGCGGCCACGTGAGGGGTCTGCGGAAGCGCGGAGCTGAAGGCTGGGGGCGAAGTGCGTAGCAGAGTCGTGACGGGGGCTGACACGCAGCAGCCGGGGGCGGCGGGCCCGGGCGCGCGGGACCGGCGCCTCCCACGCAGGGCCGGCGTTCCGGGCCGCGGGAGGGTGCGCACTCGCCGGCCGGCTCCCGGGAGACCGTTTCCGGGCGCGGGCGGGGCCGGGTGGTAAACAGGGTGGCGCCCTCTGCCCTCCCGCCCCCGGCTTGCCGAGGCGCGCGGCCGGCGGCGCCCGGAGCGGCAGAGGCGCGGCCGCGGCGCCGGGCAGTGGCAGCGGGCGCGCCCGCTCCCCGTCACCCCCGCGCGCGGCCGCCGCCGCCCGGCCCCTCCTCTGTTTTTGTTTTGGTGGAGCCCGCGTGCAGCTGGCGCGTGTCGAGTCACGTGCCGTGGGCGGGCGGGGGCCGGGCGCGGGACGCGAGGGCGCGGCGCCCGCGGCGGCTGCGGAGGAGAGGGCGAGGGGGCGGCATGCGTCCCGACGACCCCGGCCGCGCGGGTGCCGGCACTGGCTTGTGGGATTGGTCGGAGTTGGTCCTCGGTGAGCAGCGTTGGGGTTCATCGTCCGAGCGTCTAGGCGAGCCTCGTCCTCCGGGCTGGTGGGCCTGTCTGCGCTGGTTTGCGCAGAACTCCGAGGGACCTGACAGGTGATGTATCACTGTGGACGTATGGAGACCTATATGTGAACCTATATCTGGCTACACGTTATAATCAACTGGAGAACTTTGAAAAGAATTCATATTCCCTGGCCCGGCCCAGACCAATTGAACCCAAATCCAAATAGGACCTAGACATAGTATATTTTTAAAAACCCTCCTAAATGATTCTGATGCACAGTGAAGAGTGAGAACTTACAGGGGTAACCAGCTTGATGGAATAGTTGTGAAATCATGTTTAGGGACCAAGTTAAAATAGCTAACTCGTATTGGTCTGTCACTAAATGGGGTCAGTTGTGCCAGGCACTGTGACTTTGCAGAAGTGGATATACTCCATAAATATTGTTATCCCCATTTTATATTTGGGGTAACTGAAACTCAAGAGATGAAGGGAGAGTTGATCCGGGAGGACTACCCTGACTGATATCCAGGGAGGCTGATTCCAGAACCCCAACTTTCAATTATTACGTATGCTGTGTTGAAAGC